AAATCTGCTAATATATTTGTTTATTTTCTGTGCATATACATTTCGTTCGTATTTACTTCTTTCTTTCGTGATCGGAAGGCGATTATTAAAAATACAGCTGTAAATTGAAACCACTGTAGTTGCGTATCGTGAGCAATAAGTGGCAACAATGTCGGCCGACAATGAATTCAGGCGATTGACACATTGCAATGAATACACTTGATAACTGCTTGCAGACTTCCAGTGGTCATTGTTTATGTTTGGACTCTTGAAACAATAGCAAAATAAAGGGTTATGTACTCTTTTGTTTAGCCTTGGGAAGAACAATGCAAGCTTTTTACAAATAATTTCAGCTGGATGTACGTTGGTGGGCGGGTGTTGAGAGTTACTGGGCGGCCGTAAAACTTGATGGGTGGGCCGCCCGCCTAAAACCCCTTGTGGAGAACACTGTAAGCACAGAGTAATATCCATTGTTCACTGGAAGAATATTGTATCTCATTGGCCAGTGTGTAATGATAATACTAACAGTGTTGCTGTTCATATTTGTAGGCTTGGATTTGCTGCAGAAGCCATTACTAAATGGGTCGGTGAGAGAACAGATATAGTGGTATGTACATACTTACGATATATGCAAATACCCTAAATTTATTCATTTTTTAATAACTTTTGCTTCCAGGGACTGTAACACAAAAGAATGCTATTTCATGGTGCCATGAGACAATAGATTCATGAATTTACATAATAGACTAATGAACACTGTCATGCGATTTATGACCAACTTTCTCAAAAATTAAGAGTAGGCTTCTGCCTTAAATGAGTCAGAATAAAAATGTGTCAAGAATATATAAGAGACAAAGAAAGTCGGAGACAATATTGCATCATTGCCGATGCTTATAATGAACACGCTTGAGGTTGATTACTTGAAGGTGTCATGCTATTTCTCGTCTGGTGATGATAAACACTTGCTTCTGATTATTGTTTCAGTGAATCACCAAACAAAACAATATGTTGCTACACATATTGAACTGTTGAGGTGAAATGATTCCCACTGTATGCTGGATACCTTCTTATCACTTGTCAAAACTAAATACTGATGGTTGCTTTCAGATCAGAGTTTTTAGACCACCAAACTATTCAGGGACAATTGCTCTAGCGTTACTCTTTTCTCTCATTGGTGGATTACTGTATCTTCGACGGAATAACTTGGAATTCTTGTACAACAAGACAATGTGGGGTATTCTTTCATTGGTGAGTTTTCATTATGGATTTTCTATTCTCAATTACAGCTGACACTAGTTAAAACATCGCCGTCTGAAAGCCTTCACAGATGAATAAAAAAAATACAGCATCATCAGGCGAGATGTTAACTAACAAACATTCCATACAATTCGAAAAGCATTACATTTTATATAGGACAAGATCCGAATAATAATCCAGGCTTGTAACAATGAAAACAATTTTTTTCTCATAAAGCATCAAGCTTTCCCTGATTTGGTATACATTTTAAAATGAATATTAATCAATTGATTATTCATAATGATACAATGTTGTTGAATATTTAGTGCAACCCACCTTTAGTGCCCTGTTAAGAAAAAGTCTTATTGTAGCTGGAATAATATGGAGCATGAATTTAATTTGCTGTAAAATGACTAATTTTCACTAGGTTTAAATTTCACTGATTTAGCATTTCAGGCATATTCAGTGGGTTCAACAAGTCCAACATTTTATAAAAATATTCCCTTTTTTCTTTGAGGTAATCATTAAATAATGTCACCTGATCCAAATATTTATATTTTGCTATGACAAAACACTAAAGAAAAGCACATTTAAGCTCCTTCATAGATCCCAGTGATTAATTGAATAATGTATGTGAAACCAAATGGTATCATGTTTTGTGTAATAGTTTTGTATTGTTTTGTAGTCCTTACCTGTGTTGTCTGTGATACATACATTTGGCCATTTGTGTAGTCTATCTGCGTAAATTATTATTTCTATGATATACGCTATTCAAACTTTGACAATGTTTGCTGATAATTTTATTTTACAGTGTATCGTCTTTGCAATGACCTCAGGTCAGATGTGGAATCACATTCGAGGCCCACCATATGCTCATAAAAACCCACAAACAGGACAGATGGTAATGTATACAATGCTTTTTGGACAGTACTTATTGTAATATTCTATTCTTGGGTTTGGTTATTTACTGGTGAATTATATTTTCTTTCTACTCTATTGTCAGTACTGTAAAGCACTTCAATTTTTGCGGGAGGCAAATTTTTGCAAATTTTGTGATTCAGTGAAAATAATAAAATTTTGTTTGAGTTATCATTTCTCTTGAGCCCTGCAACACAGTGTTAACGGCTTTTGAAAAATGTTGCTTGCATGAATGCCATAAAATCATTGAATCACGAAAATTGCGAGTGGTGAAAATTAAAATGGTTTACAGTATAACAACAAGACTTGCACCGGTCCATCTAGATAATTGTATGCTGATTGATTTTTAATTTAATTTCTATCTTGGTTTTATAGAGTTACATTCATGGTAGTAGAAGTGGTCAATTTGTTGCCGAGACTCATATTGTTCTACTGCTCAGTATCCTTTATTGACAAGTCTCGTCAATAACATATACCCCTTATCTTCCTGAAAGGTGATCATACCCCTTATCTTGCTGACAGGTGGTCATACCCCTTATCTTGCTGACAGGTGATCATACCCCTTATCTTGCTGACAAGTGATCATACCCCTTAACTTCCTTAAAGGTATTCATACCCCTTATCTTCCTGAAAGGTAATCCTAGCCCTTAGCTTCCCTAAAGCTGTTCATACCTTTTAATTTCCTTAAAGGTGATCACACTCATCATATTCCTTACCTTCCCTAAAGTTTTATTGTCGGGAAAAACTTAGTTGAAAGCCCTTTTGAATCTCAAATTTGAAGTGTATTGATTATTACTAAATTTTGTAATATGCCCTATCTTTGAACACTTAAAAGAGAATGCTGTATGTGATCTAATGAGCTGATAACATTGTAAGATAATAAAACTCAATCACAACTGAAACTAGGGAACTGCTCAATGATTGTTCATCTACTGACAAGGAAGATATTTTATGAATGCTGTAACTGTTACTTTTATTATTTATTATTACATAAATTTTGCCGACAATACAACTTTAAAAGTAGTCATATCCATAACTTTCTTCAAGGGTGATTGTCCCTCTTAACTTCCTCAAGGGTGATTGTGCCCCCTTAACTTCTTCAAGGGTGATTGTGCCCCCTTAACTTCTTCAAGGGTGATTGTGCCCCCTTAACTTCTTCAAGGGTGATTGTGCCCCCTTAACTTCTTCAAGGGTTATTTTCCCTCTCAACTTCTTCAAGGGGGATTGTGTCCCCGTTAACTTCTTCAAGGGAGATTGTCCCCCTTAACTTCTTCAAGCACGATTGTCCTCCTTAACTTCTTCAAGGGTGATTGTCCCTCTTAACTTCATCAAGGGTGATTGTCCCCCTCAACTTCTTCAAGGGTGATTGTCCCCCTTAACTTCAAGGGTGACATGCCCTTTAACTTTCTCAATGGTTGACATGCCCCTTAACTTTCTCAATGGTTGACATGCCCCTTAACTTTCTCAATGGTTGACATGCCCCTTAACTTTCTCAATGGTTGTCCTATTCTCTGATATTCCTTCTAGATATAATTAGTGGTGTGTTGTGCTGAATATAATTTTCTATACATAATATTAATTTGTACTAAAAAATGACATAATTGAAATACATTTGTAACTCCTGTGCATGGTGTCATTATTTAAATGCCCCTTGTCTGTTTTCACAACATTGTACAAGATTCATGATCATTAAAAACTAATCATAGCTATTACAGTAAGTCTCAGAAGTATTGGGGCAGCAAGTCAGCAGCTTGCTCACTCACTAATTCGCTGACAACTTTAGTTTTGACAAAGCAGATTTGCCTATCACAAACAATTTTGTATACTTTTCATTCATGTAAATCCTCATAAACATATTTAAAATACTTTATTTTCGTTTAGAATTAATTTTCGGTATTTTCGCTGAAGGAATGATTCAGTGAAAATAAAATCCAGCGAATATACCTTTTTTCCTATATTTTACATTCAACTTGTTAAAAATCAGTGAAAATAAATTCCATACAAAACAATCAAAATGTCTTTTCAGCGAAAATTAATTCCAGCTAAAATGAAGTATTTTACAGTACTGTTCTTTTAAATATTACTACCAGGGTTTTTCTAGAAAAACAAATATAAGAGTGAGCACACAGTAATTAAAGGTCCTTGAACCTCAGAAATTAAGACATTATGAACAGTAGAGTATTTTGGTAAGAGGGCGCAACCAGGGTATGAGGGTACTACGTGCATCCCTGTTCCACTGTTACATGTACAAGCATTTGATGATAACTGAATGAAGGGGAATATTCAAATTGTAGGTCATCCTGCTTTGAAAAATGTTAGTTTCTTTGTGGCATCTCATGGTTACCACAAGAAAGCCGTGATAAATATGCCTACATTATAGTATACAGCTACTTGCAAATGCACCAGTCAGCTTGCCTTTCTATATTACAGGGACCTGATCTACTTGTAGAAATAGATGTTCCCTCATTTA